AGTTTATATCTTTGAAATTTTGCAAAAAATAATTAAATATCAGAATTTCATGAGATTTTTGGAATTAATAATAGCTTTCCGTGAAGATAAAAAAAAATATCCAAGAGTATCCCTCTAGTTATTAGGTGTTGGAATTAATTCGTAGCGTTTTTTAATGAAAGAATGTTATTTATTTCACATGAGCATTAAAAAATACATTAATGAAAGTACTTCCCATCACTTGTAAAACGCTACGAATTAATTCCAACACCTAATATATTAATGATAATGATTTCTATTTTGTATATTCTCATATCGCGTTGACAATGGCTATGTTTAATATTAAATCTATAGCGTCAAATTGACACTGTATAGTGTTAAATATAATTTAGTATAAAATAACGATATAATTGAATAGAAGCAGTGGCGACATCACTCTAAATTTCTTACAGTAAAATCACACTTCTCTTCCCATCCAAGAAAGGAAATGAAAATATAACCACCCTTAAAAAAAAAAAGGAAATGTTTCACTTCTTGAAAAAGAGTGACAATTTTCATTCTTTTCAGAGTGAATTATTATTTCAAAGAAGTGAAATTTCACTTCAAAAAAAGTGAGAGTTCATTCTAAAAGAGTGAAGATTGTTACTTTTTTTTCAAGAAGTAAAATATTTTCACTTGTCAAGGGTGGTTGCATTTTCACTCTTTTGAAGTGAGATTTCAGTGCAAAAATTTAGAGTAATTAGATTAAATTTAACACTATATACAGATTTAACAGTGTTCCAACAGAAAAAACAGTTTTGCAACTGTTAGATTTTTTAATACAATTGGTTTATTTAGATATTCAATAAAGAAAATTAGGGGCAAGAGCAATCATATTAAAGAATTTGACAACAATTACAAAATTATGCTGAATACAGTCAATGTTTGCCTCCATATCCGTCAAACAAACCCTTCGTACTTTCCATGGCGATGCGAAATTGTCATTCAGCGAAATGTCGTCGCAGGCACGTGAAGGCGCACGTGGAATTAATACTCGGAAATAACGAATTAATGTTTAAGCGAGTCGCTGCTTGTACTATACAAGCTTTTTCGCTAAAGTTCGTCGCAAGTCTAGCTGAAACTTTTACGAGACACGTGCGCAAAATTGCAGAAGGGTTGCGAGATCCTATAAGGAGAATAAAAAAAAAAAAGAAACGGACAGAGAGGGAGATAGCAGAAGAAAAAATAATCGACCGAGGGAAGACAAGGGCCGACAACGACATGCACCTGTGTGCGAACCCGCACATGTCTGATGCAACTGCACTACCCCTATCTTCCCTCGCACGAAGCTCCATTCATAATTCAGCGGGGCGAATTAGACGAGCGAGGGACGCGAGTTCTCTCGCGTGTCTCTGTTGCGAAGGGCACAGGTAGCGAGAACAAATTAAGCAATATCGAACGACATATTTCGCTTCGACAGAATGGACTGAGCAAGAGATGTTAGCCCTTCCCCCTCCTCCTCCCCCCGAAAGAACACTTTCACTTTCTGCGTTATTTCGTATGTCACCTAACTATTCTTTCACTTTTTTTACTGCTCTCGGTCGCCACTCACCAAGCTCTCGTTGTAATTGGTGTACTATAACTGCATAAATAACGAACTCACGATGGTAGAAGCATCTACATAAATAACCGACAAGTCGTCGATGCATGCATTGCAGAACGATTGAGGACTGAAGAATGAAATGATAATGAATTTTGTTCCAAGCAAAATATTTTATCAAACGTCATGCCGTTGTATCGTCACGATGCGTGTCTTTCACATCGAATCAATGCGACTTATTTGACTGGTAACTCTTATGATACATTATTATAGTAAACTTAGAAATTTCTTTTAAGTATAAAAATGCGAATTTCACAAATCGGTCTTTTTCTTTCAAACATAAGACAATCATGCAATATTGATCGATTCTTTTATGGAGTTCGTATTCTTAACAGAAAGTCAAGAAGTGATATTTAGAATTTAAAAGAAAATATTGCAGTTAGGAAAATGAAATGCCAAAGAAAAAAAAAAGTATATATAATTCTATGATCGTGCTTTTTTCAAAGTCTTTTTGTTTAATTTCGTTTTAGCTGATTTTATGTAACTTTCATTTATCAATATATGATTGATATCATTCTTCAGCAATGAATACAGCAGCAAGATCAAACGTCACTGCAAAAGTTCTTACAAAAAGACTATATAATACGCAGTATTAAAACTGTATACATATATAAAATATATATATATATATATATAATGAATGTTTAAATACAAAAAACCATCTTCTCTATTCCATTCTTCAAATAAACAAAATACTATTTCGCAAGGTAATTACACTAGAGATTTTTATTATCGATGTTTAAACGCTATTTATGTTGAATCATTATAATAATTTTGTACATAATTAATAGTTATCTAATATATAGAACAGTTATCTAATTAACAGTTGTCTAACTAACAACACATATAAAAAGAATAAGAAGACGTTGTTTTGCGGGCAGAAGAGTAATAAAAGTGATTCTAATTTGAAACCGCTTCAACAGATTCCATAAAATTCAAATCTTACACGTGAAACACACACACATACACTTCGGTTCGGTTTTTTCCTTTGCCAAATAACTTGCGCAATGGCACTGCGATGTCGCGTGAATTCCACGCCAAGGTGATGATCGGTATGACGAAGTAGCACGGTTTCTAACGAAGAGCTCTAACAAAAAGTAACACTTTAATGAATTCTCGGTGAGCATAACTGTACTTCCGATAGAATAACTCAACAATGCAACGGTTACGAATTTTCTCACCGCGCTACTGTGGTTCTCTCGTTGTATTCCTTCTCACTCGAGCAGAGCTTCAAAGAACTTCACGGTCACATTTACATTAACGCAACAGAATATCTTCACTGTCTCTATTTTTTTTTAAATAATATATCTTTTCAGAGTAATATATCTTTTCATGTCTTTGCACCTCTGTGTAGTCACACGGCCTTTGAATAATTTAAGAGCGGCAAAATTTTTTCAATATTTTGTTTCAATGAAAGATGAGAGACGCATAACTCAAAACAGTTTAGGAAACGTGAAATAGAAGATAATACGATAACGAATATCTGTTTTATAGTGGCAGATTCGACATAAGAATAAAATATTAGATGCAGCCTCTGAAAATTTTTTTTACTTCATGTTTTTTTCAACGTCGCATTCATGACGCAACGGTATTAAATCTAATTTTTTTTTTCGACACGTTCCGAGTCTCTTTGAAAATCTCGGAGTAACGTGAAAGTGCAAAGGAAGGCTTTCGAGACGACCGCATGGACCGCTCCGAACTTTGATACATTAATAAATAGCTTCTCTGCCTATCAGTGGACTTCTTTTACTCTTCCTTGAGCACGTTTAACATGCACGGATTGCCTTCCCTGTCCTTCCCGTTTCTTTGCCTTTTCTCCTCTGCGGGCCTAATGTCAATAACCGTTGCATTAGTTGACGCTTCGTTACTTTCTTTGCGGCGGGCGAGCGAGCAGGCGATTAAAAATGGTCGAGGTGTCATTCGCGATGGTACACGGTCGCCGCGACGCCGACGTCGACGTCGACGTCGACGTCGAATCGCGTCGGTGTTGGTGGCCAGCGTCCGTCGCACCTGTTTCACGTGGCGTCGTCGTAGCATCACGCTCGGTGATTTGCTCGCCGGAGCAAAAGATGTTCCCAGTGGCTGCACCGTCGCCTGCATCCTCTTTGTACACTTTGTTCACACCGTGAAGGCAAGTCGTAAGGCATCACCCCGTCCCGGGGCACGGACGGGGAGACCCAGTAAATCCACGTACATCCACGTACAGCGTCGTCGCTCTCTCTTTCTGCACGTTAGAGCGTCGCCGAAGCGGAGACTGACGTACACGTGGATGAAAAAAGATCTATACGAAAACCGTTCCGAAAACCGTATTATCTCTCGGTTCTATATATTCTTTGATCAGTCTGAGATCGATTTTCCTGTCCTCTTTGAAAGTCAAGAAATTGAATGAGAAGAAAGATTTTTTTTTTTTTAATTCCGTTTTAAACCCGTTAAAAGATCCGTTCGTCATCGAGAACGTGGGAGAGTTCGGAGAACATCAGACGGCGCTTTCTACAGCTTCTTTTTACGATGCACTGTTTTATCTCTTGCCGCGAGACTCGGAGAGAAGTGATAGAATGGTACAAGGATGAGAGAAACGCGGCAGTTGCAACATCCGCGGTCGGATCCCACGTGCAGCTGATGATGCAATGTTCGTGCATTTTGTAACTTCATAGCCAGAAGGCCTTCTTACCCAGCATATTGGATTAGATAAAGTCGGATCGAGAGCGTTGCACTGTCTGAGAGAGCATTGAGTAATACGTATATCGCCCAATTATATGGCTTGTCGGTTAAATATCGCGCATATCTTGTAAAATTTAATTTTCTTAAATGTTCGTAGCAAGGAAATTTATTATTCGCACTTACGCTATATATTTTGGCGATGAATCAAAATACACTTGGTATGAATGTGAAATTCAATAAACTTGCAAGGTTTTATTCAGTTCGAACCCGTTCACTTGCCACATCATCCTTGAGTTCACTGTCAATAGACTTAGCTGCGTTGTTATCTCTTACTTGCGAAGGTTTAGTGATCTAATATTACTGCCCGTCAACAATATAATATGTGTGTGTGTGTGTGTTTTACGAATAATCTTAAATATATATTATAATAATTACTCTCTAAAATTTTTAGAGTGAATCCCATTCTTAAAAACTGAAAATTGAGCTACTCTTTTTTTAAGACTTGCTCAATTTTCACTCTTTAGTGAGATTCCACTCCAAAGAATTTAGAGAATAGATCATCACACGTGTTGGATGAAATATTTTTGCGCAATTAAGCTGCGCAAAAATCTCATTTCCTCAACGCGTCAAATCGAATCTCCACCGAATTAAAGACTCGATCGCGCTGTACGCGTAAGTGCAGACGATGTCTTGTGACTTAAAAACAATGAATGGCACTCACCGCCGTCGACAGTAGAGACAGTGCTGGCCTTGTTGATCTTCGTGTTCCACATAGCGAGCGCGGGAGGCGCGGCGGGACTCTGATCGGGAGTCGGCGGATGAACCGCCGGCATCGGCACCATCGTCGGACCCAGCTGTGCTCCAGGCAGATGGTCCGAGTTCGATCTGTACAAGCCCGCGTCAAACCCCCGTCCGGGATAAGCTTCGTCATCCCGCTTGGACAATCTCTCCGCCAATTTCTCCGTCCTGTCTCGATCGGTCTCCTGTTTTATTCGAAGGTCTGGCTCCTGTTTTATTCGAAGGTCTGCGAACACAAGATCAAGAGCTTAGTTCCAAGACAGGTCGGTGGGATCTTTAGGTCGATTTTACATCGGTTTTATTATAGGTTCTATTATCTCACCTTCGGCAACGCTTTCCTTGAGATCACAGTTGCTGCGTTCCTCGGACCGCGCTCGTTCCAGCTGCTGTTCCAGTTCCGTGGGCGTATGTGGCGCGGTGTGGGAATGCGAATGAGTTTCAGGAGGATGGGTGAACGATTGATAGAAGTGATTTTTCAACAATGGATGCGGGGCGGACGCCGGCCGGAAGGCAGGGCCGTCGCGCAACACGCTCGCTCTTCCTAACGTATCGACGTCGCTTGGCGATCTAAAAATACGTGGTCGCAGCTCGTATAATCTTACGTGAGTGAATTGGTAAGGACACGTAACACAGTGCTAATATTTGGTAAACACGCGTAATACGATAAAGAGGAAGCACGGAGAAAATCAAATCCGAAGTGACGTAACGCCAAGTGGGACAAATGAAGGAATATCCAAAATGTTCTTTATGTTATACGATAAAGCTCCTTGGAAGATTTTATGGTTTTGATTAGCGCAACATCCGCGCAACATAATTGACAAAAATCTACTTTGATCGTAAAAGTAATATTTCGACAAGCTGAGGTAGACATTCGAAGAAACCGTAAAAGAGTCGCTTTACCATAACGATCATTTCTTTATCAAAAATATGATAATTTAGACGTTGCTTTATCGTTGGTGAATTGTCACATACGTCATCGTCATTAGAACGAAGGAAGGTCGCTCGTGGCCAGTTCCTCAAAAGAAAAGAGCTACGCATCTCAGCGAAAGATCCTTACCTCATCACCCTCTTCGGCGGGCTCTCGCAATAAGGAGAGGTGGAGTACATATTGGGTACGATGTATTCCGGAGCGGGCGATGGCGCTGGTGTAGGGGTCCTCTTCATGATATTCCTGACCGCCTCGCTCATGTCGCTCACATCACCGACGCCGCTACCACCGCCCCCATTGCCGATGGTACCACCGATGCTACCACTGCCGACGCTACCGCTGCCAACGCTACCCCCGACGCTACCACCGCCTCCGCTACCCCCGCCTCCACGAAGAGCAGTAACATCGCCAGTGCTCTCTGCGTCCGCGGAGGTGTTGCTTTCCGCAGCGTGCCTCTGCGCTACCGCCAACTTTTCGTGCTCGATGATGGATAGACCTTTAACCTGGAAAAAAAAGAATTATAGATGAATGAATATATTTCAGAAAAATATCGCAGAAGGGAATAATATAAGAAATATTGTATAATATTGTATACATAAAAATATTGTGCTATACTAAAAGAATTATTATGATAGTAAAATATATATAATTTTTAAGGGGATTTCAAAAATATTTATTGCATTTAGAAAGAATTTATATAAATATTAGATTATGTTAATGAACATTTCGCGTCACTGATGTCGACATGCACGGTAAAAAAAACATTTTGTATTTGTGTTGGAAACAGTTCACATTCTTGTTAATAGTTTGTGTTGAATTTTTTAACATATTCAAATATCAATTTATAATAATGTGATTATATTATTTAAATATTCTATGTTAAATTCATATTCTTAATGTCGAAATCTCTAGTGTAGATATCTCTAGTGTCAAAAGGACATAATTTATAAGTAAGTAAACAAGTAATACGAAAATATGTTTTAAAATGTAGAAATTCTAAGATATGTATGTTAATTTAACATATCATAAATATTAATTATATCTACTAAAAAAATATATTTTCACAGTTTGTTTACAAACTATGTCAACATCATCTTTTTTCTGATCATTTTTCTTCAATATCTTTGTTTCCTAACATGTTCATCTTAAATGAACACAAAAATTTAAGTGGGACATGTGAAATGTATTATATTCGTCACAAATTTTCCAACGGTGTATCAATTAAATAAAATCACACATTTTTGCAGTAAATACTTGAAAATATCGAATGAAGGCATACGATACAAAGTTCAGTCAACAACGCATTTCCGAGGTGAGTTTGACAAATGATTTGACTTTACAATACAAATGACACATAAATTTAGCCAGTGCACGTTTTGAAGCCGCGTCGGATGCCACGTGTATAATTATTCGGGGGACGTTATTTAGGATCATTATTTATGGAAAAAGAGACAGGCACGTACTTGAAGGCATTCAGCTGCCTTGAGGAAGGAGCTGAGGGATTCCTGGGACACATGTACCTCTCCACGGTACATGAATTCGAGGAGGGACGCCATATTGTGAGCACTCGTCCCATCGAGAATAACGATCAATCCCGCGGGAGAAGGTGGCATTCCTTCGAAAAGCTCCTGAAAATGCTTGCTGCATGCTGCGAGGATTAACCTGTGCGCCTTGAACGTAACTCCTGAAACACAAATAGGATATATTGATTTCAAAATATGAACGATGCAAGAAAGTATAATACTGTCATCAAACATACTGTTATCAAAAAAAAATATTTCACGACCATTTCGCTAATCCATTTTTGCATAATTGAGTAAATTAAAAAAATATATATATATAAAATAACAGGATATTAAAGAGCAAATCGTAGAACTTGTTACGTAAAATAATTCTTTAATTTATATATTCTATCAATAATCACATTGAGTTGGTATTTACACCTAATTCCAACTCTTCTCAAGATACCCTGTCATATATTCTTAATTTATATTATTTAGCGAGCTTTGTTACTGTATTGTATTGTTGTTATTGTATTATTGTTGTACTAAATTAATCCTCTGCCGCAACATAAGATTCTTAAAGGCATTACGGATTACATTTTAATGAATTCTAAAAATTTAAATCTGTAAAAAAGTAAGTAAACTAGAATCCGATATTTCTATAATAGTAAGAACTTCTTAAAGCTTTGACAAGTATATTAGAATTTTTATCAGAATTTATATCAATTTTTATACAATCCGGAAAAATAAAAATTTGTTTTTTTTTTCGAATACCACTATTGCTGACGGAAGAATTAAGATTCCTTGTTACTTAGCGGAGAGTTAATGGATATCGCAGAAAAAAAATTTAGATATTATCCTCGCACTTCTATATTCCATAATCATGCGAATCAAACTCGATCAGCGAAATTAGCAAAATTTGTTATGCACGCACAAGATGCTCACGGGCCTTTTCTTTCTCACGGCTTACAATGTAAGCGGGCACCATCGCAGCAGACGAGCGCGGGAATTTCAGCATGCAAAGAAAGCCGGTGACCGACGAACCCTTTTTTTTCAAGCGGCCCACCATTTCCCTCTCTACAACGCGACATAAAGGAACCGAGGCTAGCACGCCTGACGCCGATGCCCTTTCTTGCAGCCCGCTGCGTATGTAGGTCATCTTCGGACACGATCTTCCGTAATTCGTAATTCACGCAAGTATAATGCGCGTTCGCCAGCGCGCGGGCGTGTAATATGACACGAGCGACCGCTGCAAGTAAAGCGAGGAACGGTGTCCAGGAACGGTTGCGTGTAAAAAGAAAAAAGAAACCGTGACCGTAACCGATCGTCGAAGCCTCTGCGATGTAGCTAAATATCCCGACAAATTTCTTTAAAAAAAAAAAATCCTCAAACTTTTGCTATTATGTTTACAAAGCACTTTTTTTTATTGATTTATTGAAAGTTCTTAAGACTGATTTAATTAACAAAAATTAGCTGCATACAAAAATGTATGTATTTTCATTATTGGTACCTTATTAAATCTATAGTGTCAAATTTAATTATCGCTTTAATAAAAAATAACGGTATATTTAGTAGGAGCGACTCACATTAGATTAAAGTTGACATTTAACAGTGTACAGCTATCGCGTTACTTCATTATTTTGATTCCGTGCGAATTAGGTGAACAGAACATTTCATAAAAGAGCTTCATACGTTTGTGGGACGGATGTGGGAAGAAGTCTCATCTTCGGCAATGCCTTCAGAATAAGGAAATTAAGTGCGAGAAGAGAATGGAGGAAGGTGACGAGGGCACGACCAGGTGGCTCAAAGCACCTGTCTTTCCGAGTGGCTCCCGGTACACAAAGTGTATCCAACTCTTTGAGCTTCCTCTCAGCGCGATATCATATTTCCTTGTACTCCCCGTTGCGCTCAATTTCAAACCTCTTATCCGACGAATATTGGATTTGCTGTGTACCCGGGGGAGAGGATTCAACGACTCTGTGATACCGCGTTCACCCGCGGTGCTTGTTGAAATACGTTTGCATGAACTTGTCTCGCGTATAATAATGACAGCATCTCTTTATCTAACGAATATCAAATATATCTTCGATATCAAATTTCAATCGAGAACAATTTTGCACTATCGTTATTGTTTAATCGCTATATATTAATAATCACCTTGCTTTTATAATCTGTCCAATATAAGATAGGCGTGTTACAGATGTTCGGGTTACAAATATACAGCTTATTATGCGCGATGCAAGGACTAATGACCGTATTTGCGATCATCTTCCTTCGCTTATCGACTTTTGTAAGCGGAGTTTGGACACACAAATGCATATCTTGGTGTAGAACGAGAATGTCAAATATAAAGAGAATCTCACATAATTTGCTATGTGATTAAAAAGAACAAATTTTGTTTCATATAATATAAACATAGACTGCGCATTTTTTGATCTTAGCAACCTGTGCTTCGAAGAACGTATCAAATTACATCAACATATCTTTAATCTCAATCACTCTCCAAAATTCCTGATATTTGACACTGAAAAAAATACTAAATTTTAATAAGTATTCGTTCGAATAGCTCTAAGCAGGTATTTATTAAATGTAAACATATTTGATACGAAAATCATTACTTCAACTTATAACTATAATTTTTTTATTGAGTAAATATTTATATATAAATAAATGTTTGCTTAGTACATTCAAAGATATGTGTATTAAAATTTAGTAAATTTTTTTTCAGTGTAGAGAAAGGAAGCGATTTAAACTATCTCATTTTTTCTAAAACGATAGTCTTAGACAATTCCATAAGAGTCTATTCTTATTTCATCTATGGAAATAATCGGCAATCGAAATAATCGCTCGTAATACGAAGGCATTCGGAGATGGGGCACTCTTCGTATATGAACTGCGTTCGGAGACGCATGGGACAGCCAGGCGGCAGTGCAGTTCGTCGGCACACTTGTGGAAATAATGAAATATGCAGAGTTCGTATAGTCCCGAGACTACTAATAAATTCTATAATACGCTGCGCGGGATACTTCTCACGCACATACGTTGTTATTCCCGTTATCGGGCCGCATGCAGAAATATACGCAATATGTTGCAAAGAATTTCGGCAGAACATTGCGTAACGTGCGCACGCGAAGCCTAGAGGACGTATTTATGACACGCCGCAACACCGTCATCGACTCATCGAGCGAACGGAGCTATTACTGAATGAGCGAGTAGAGATAACGCACGAACACTCTCAGCGCGGCTCCGCGCGTATCTATTTAGATATTGTTCATAGTTACGCTTGGGAAGCGAACAGCAACACCGTCATAGCGAAGGTTGTCGAGTATGAATAAATGATAATGAATTGACGTCGCAACGTGCGAAAAAAGATCGTTGTTCAATCAAATATTTTTTTATTGAGAAAAAATTACTAAATTTTAACAAATATTTGTTTGAATAACTAGATTTAACTGTAAATATACATTTATTTTTTTTTTTAAGTTGCTGCTTAAAATATTTTTTCATTGAGAAAAAATTTACTAAATTTTAACAAATATTTGTTTGAATAACTAGATTTAATTGTAAATATACATTTATTTGTACGAGAAAAGAACCAATTAACTTGATTGATCTAGCATTTTTTTAATTACTAAGTATTTATTTACCGTAAATAAATGTTGAGTTAGTATTATTTAAATACAATAAATGTTTATTAAAATTTAGTGCATTTTTTTCTTAATGTATGCGATACATAAGACATTTCTTCAAAATAGAAATTGTATAATTACTAAATTTATCCGTAGTCTATTGTTAGAACTTGCTAAAAGTTGGCTATTGTTCGGCGTGCAGTTCGAAGAACTCTGAAAAATGTCTTTAATAATTCATATAAAAATATTATTAGATATCAAGATTTAGCCTTGACCGTATTTGGCGCTTCTATTTATTAGTATTAAACTGTGCTTTATTTAAAGCCACTACTATTTTGTTACCATCCGTACTATGCTGGCATACATTAGTTGAGAAATACGTTGCAAATATTATATATAGCTATTTCGATGAAATTACGTGAACATCTAGTAACAAAGAGATCGCCGGCGGCGCGGCGTGACTACCGTCACAAACTTGCAAATAAAACGCGGCTTAGTTACGCAACAGTGCAATGCACTCTTCGCGGGCAATCTATTCATATTCCAAGGCCAGCCGGTAGTGCTCTTTGGAAGTTAGGGTTTTCGACGAAGCCTCTTACGACGGTCATTGTTCCCCTACCACGCAATAATAATTCGGAGCCTTGTATATACGTGCATCGTGATCGAATGCGTACAATATACATCATGGGTGAAGGCGACAATTACGGCTTAATTCAATGTCAATGTGACGATGTCAGCGACCGATACGTCGTCAAAATTACCGCAATATTTATCAAAAGACAACTTCAGAAAAGTGAATTTGATACTGTAAGAGGGTCAAACTTCGATAACAAATAATGAATGTCGCTGAAGAAAGATTTCTAATCTTGGATAAAAAAAAATATAGATCCTCTCGACGTGATTTTTTTGTATCACTCTAAAAAATTTCAGACAATATTTCACGCAACAATAAGTCCTCGACAAGTCCTCTCAATTAAAAACGATTAGATTGGAATTAATTAAATAAAGGCAGAATAAAATATTATCTCGCTACCAAAGACTTGCGTTGCGGTACATGTCCTTTATTTAAATTTAGCATTAATTTGAATTTAGCCACTTGAACTCTTATTGCAATTAGATTGGAAAATAACAAGAAACACCGATTGCCCGCGATATATCACGGGGTATCCAAATTTCACCGATTTGATTAGAGCAGAGACAAAACTCTAATATGGAGGAGGCGGCCAAGGGAAGGGACAACAGTCAATGCCCCGTCAAGGTCGACAATGCAGAGTGTGCTAGCAAGCAAATATGTGTTTGTCATATCGTATCGGCTCGGCTTCACTCGTTTTAACTTCGCCCGTACGAAAAGTTGACAGGCCAATAGTGATTCGAGCTTCCTTTAGGCCCGGCCAATGGCCGCGTGGGACCAAGGCCATCTTCTTCACACATACCCAAAGTTCGATGCACAGCACGGCGAAAAGCGGTGCCGAGAGAAAAAAAAAAGATATGGTAGACTGTGAGGGATCCGCGAGGGAGAGAGAGAAGACAGCACTACACAAGCATCGCGATAC